GTGAGAAATGGAATCCCAATGTGGTATATTAACTTGTATTTCTCTTATAATACCCTGAAATTGGATATATTTTCATATGCTTAAAAGCCAAGTGCATTAACTTTTCTGTGTATTATCTTTTCATATTTTGTGTATTTTTATCCTGGAGTATTGGTCTCCTTATTGATTTATAGGAGCTCTTTAGATATTTGTGATATCAGTGAATTGTCTGTGATATAAGTTTAAAATATTTTCCCTAGCTTGTTCTTTATATTTTGACTTTCATAAGCTTTCTTCCTATAGCAGTTTTTGATATTGTAGTCAAATTTACCAGACTTCTATAGATTATAGATTTCAAATAATTTGAAGATAATAGGATAAACTTCCCATTTTCCATAGTTTTTTTATGATTCACTTTTTAAAAATTAAATATCTGATTCACTTAGAATTATCTTGTTAAATGATATGAGATATGGATGTGACTTCATTTTTCTCCAGGTGGCTTACCCATTGTTACCCTTGACTTGAGATACTGCCTTTATCAAATCCAGTTTCAGACCTTACATTCCCATATGTAACTGGGTTTTCTATATTTTCTATTCAGTACTTCCATTTTCTGTCTGTATATATACAAAATATTACCTTAATATTTAATTATTGAGGCTCTATGCTATACTATATTACCTAGTAGGGCTATTTTCTTTAATGATGACTCTTAATTCCAGAGCTTTCTTTTATTATCCATGCCAATTTGTCTTATGAACTTCATAATCAGCCTGTAAAGTTTTATTTTAAAAATAACTATTGGTATTTTTATTGGGATATTAACTTCTTAGATTTACTTTCAAATCTTCCTGAACACGATACACTCCTGAGGAGCCTTAGTCTGCTGCAGCCTGGCCTGGTGCTTGCAACAAAACAAAGTATTAAAAAGCTGGGTGTTTTGGTTGTGTGCATGGTAACTGAGATTTCTGTTTTCATTCAGTTCACAATAGATGTTATTTATCCTCTCAGTGTCCCTAGTTTAAGACATCTGTCATCTCTTTCAAAGATTGGAAGGGGAAACAGATCGTTGGAACGGGAAGAACCTCCGGAGGATGCTGCCTCACTGAAACAGCAGCCTCCAAGCCATTCCTCCTGCCTCCACGCACGGAAGTCACCACGCTTCGTGCTTCACTGCCCCAGGTGGCTTCAGGGCCCTGATAAACACGTCATGTTCTTTATATCCAGCCCTTGCTCCTCTTACAGAGATGCACTCTTGACTCAGCCGAAAAGTCTGTATTTCAGGAAGACCCTGGGGAGCTCATAATCATTTTCAAGTTTGAGAAGCAAAAGACTCGTGGTTCTTAAAGTGTGGGCCTAACTGCAGAAGCGGCATGTTCTAGAACAGTGGTCCCAACCTTGTTTTGGCCATGCCCCACCGAAGCATCGCTAAAATCCTGATGCCCTCTCCCATGCGCCTCCCCTCCCCGCCCCTCCCCCCGTGACACAGAATTCTTATCATTCAAAAAGTGACTCCTACTCACGTGGAGGAGGCCTAAAAGGCCGTTAACTGGGCTAAACAAGCTTCCAAAGAACATGGCGTCCATGAAGAGAAAAATAAAAGAACGAAAGGACAGTTGAAGTACTGAGGAAGAAATCACTAAGAAATTGTGAAAATAATAATATGAAGTGATATAAAAAAAAACCCAGCAACTAAAGTTTCAAAACATAAAATAGAGAACTGAAATGCACAAATATGTCACACTATATAGCTATATACTGTGTATGAGGCCACTAGGACTATAAGAAAGGCTAAAAAATTCACTGTTAATAACTCATTCTTAAGTTGCCCTCCTTCAGAGCAAATTGCCCCGCATTGGGAACTGCTGATCTAGAACCAGGAGCAAATTCAAACTCTTGGGCCCAACCCTCACCCCCTAAGGCAGCAGTGCCCGGGTTCCGCCCAGGAGTCTGGTCTAAGTGGCTCTCAGATGCTCCTCCTGGTGCAGTGACCGAGGCCCATGCTCCAGGTCGGGGATGCAGTCCTGGCCAGCCGCTGGGGTCACCTGGGGAGCTCTGACACCGCCCCCCCAATGCACCCCTAATAAACCACATCTGAATTTCAGGGCTCAGGCCACGGAGTCAGTATTTTTAGTTTCCCAGGTGATTCCAACGTGAAGGCCAGGGTGAGGGCTCTGCTCTGCCTTGAACAATATTCTCAGCCCTGGCTCTCAGAATCGCCGGGGGTCTTCTTTCAAAAGTATTGATGGGGCCCTAACCTAGAGCATCTGCCTGCGGCTGAAGGGTCCTGGGTTCAATTCCGGTCAAGGGCACGTGCCAGGGTTGCGAGTTCAGTCCCAGTGAGGGGTGTGCAGGAGCAGCCCATTGGTGATTCTCTGTCATCATTGATGTTTCTATCTCTTTCTCCCTATTCCTTCCTCTTTGAAACCAATAAAGATAAATTTAAAATAATAATAATAAATAAGAAGTACTGATGCTGAAGGTCTCCTTCAGAGATGGAAGTTGGTCTGGATAAAGCAGAGAATCACTTTTTAAAAATGTGGTTTCTCGGGTGATTCTCATATCCAGCCAGGATTTCAAACCACTGCTCTGGGAATACTGTTTTCCACCACAAACTTCCAGTCACACCAAGGAAAACAAAGTTTGGATGCAGTGGAAGAGAGGCACTTTCCAATTCTCATATATTTACGGCGTCTGTGCAGTGCCTTAGGCTAGTTACTGTGAAGATTAAAAATAAGTGCAAAGCATAGCTCCTGGCCCATAAGAGAATAAACAACCTGTATTAGCAGAAAAGACTATGCATTCCACATGTAAATAATTATTTAAAGGTAATATATTCTATGCTACTGACTGTAACATAATTTTAAAAGTTACATATATCCTTATATCACTGTTAGGTCAAATTAATTTTTATTGTTTTTAAAAGAATAGGAGTAAAGATGAAAGAAATATATGTTAGAAATGATTATGAAGCAATTTTGAATACAATTAGCAATCAGCCCTTAGATATTTGAACCTGGAAAAAGCAATGGACAAGGTCAATGGCCAAAGAATAATTCATGAGCTCAAAGCCAGGATGTGTTAGAGTTTCCTCCTTGGCACAATGAACACTGTGCTATGGCACCACCGACAGTCAATGCAACCCAACAGTGTTTAGTAAATGAAATGGTTTGCAAAGAACTTAGATGCATAATACATAACCCTGGACACAGACAATAACTACTAAGATAAATAGCAATTAAGATATCAGCAATTAAAGAGTTTATATTAAATATTTTCTCTTTTATAATTAGAAATACAACTATTTATTTTGGCCTGACTATTGGCCTCTCCTATACCGGCTTCTTTTGAGAACACATTAAAAAATAATGAAACGTATCCTAGTCTGAGAGAAATAACAAGCTATAAATATTTTTCACATATATTGGACTATAAAATGTATTTATAATTTTAAATGAGCAGTCAAAACTCAAAATTTCATGGATGTTTTATGAAACAAAAAGTTCATTAAACATCTAAAACGGGGTCAAAATCTTGAAGACTCTATTTGAATTCAGCTACTTGTTTTGATAATTTAGCTAAATATACTACACCCACGCCTTCAGTTTATTATTAGCTACAAAGACAGGGATGTGACATATGCTTTAAGACTTTAAAAGGAGTTTCTTTTTCTTTCTTTAAATATGGGCATCTCATTGGCTGTTTTCAGTGATTCGTGAGTTGGGCAGATCCATCTAGCAATGGAAAGGTGTTCCCTTAGGAATTTCTGAATCAAGAAAACAATCACAAACGTTCATCCCCTCTCTCTTGTACCACCAGGAAGTACAGATTAAATGGGTTACAGCACCTTCAATGACACCAACTTAGACCTGGAGGCCTAAGGGAACCCCCATTTAATGTAATAACCTCTCCTTCATATTTGAAAATGACCCCCAGTAGAAGATGGCGAATCTCAAGCTGTCCTCCCAATAAGGATGGTGGATATACCAATCCAGCCATACTCTTCTCTTAGTCCACAGACACACTCAATAGGAGGAGGGCTGATGGGTCTTTCTGAGTGCCCACCAGACAACATTGTTTACTGGCTTCAGTCTGAGGAAAACAAGTATCACATGATCTGGTGCATATGGGGGTGATTGAAATGGATCCAGAGACATGGAGGCCCAGGACAGACTGATGGGCCTCAGGGACAGGGGGAGTGGGGAGTGGAGAGTGGGGAGAGACTGACTGAAGCACTCACATGCATAGCCCCTGGGTACGGACAATAATTCGGCGAAGGCCTTGGGAGAGGGGAAGGGGGGAGAGGGGGAGAGGGGGTCAATGGAGCAAAAAAGGGGGACATGTGTAATGCTCTCAACAATAAAGATACATTTTAAAAGCTTACTGGCTTCAATAGATTTTACACCCATTATCTGGGATAGAATTTATCTTCAAAACGGTCAGAGGAGAAAGGGAGGACATGGATTATTGTTCTAACTTTACAGACGGGAGACTAAGGCTTAACAGTAAAGGGCAGTGCTGTGGGTATCCGTGGGGGTATGAGAGGCCGTCTGCCATCTCCCCACGGCCACCCAACCGGCGTCAGCTCTGACCAGTCACTTCTGGGTGTGAGCTGCTGTGGGTGAGTGTGTCCTGCCCTCTGACGTGCTGAGGGCCGGGGCAGGGCTGGGACCCAGGGCAGTCTCGGAAACCAAGGCAACCGACATGGAGTCAAACCTTAGTCCATTTCATCTCCTGGAGCATGCGTTTAAATGCCTGCGGGCCCTGGAATAAAAGCATTTTGGAGATGATAATAGAATTACAGTGGTTACAGGCTGTAACATTCATGACTTTTATTTTGCTCTCAGGAACTTGTGGGATGATTGCCTTCATTCCCCAAAGAGGGGCAAGGGGCAGGGCATCTGACTTCCCCCGCTAGGGGTTCACAGTGACGCCACCACCCCAGAGAAGTGCTCTCAGCCATTCAGCACAGGGAATGCCAGTCAGCCTGTCAGATGACACTGAAGGGAGCTACGTACCTGTTCCATGCGACTCTCCTCCCTTCTCTTACTGTGAAGCTGAAGATAAGAGTCCACTTTGGGGGTGGGTAACCCCAAGGTCAGCTTGTTTTTTTCCACAAAAAATTGTTTGGCCTTCCTTCGCCGCGGGCCCCGTGACCTGGGCCAGAAAACCTCGTTGTGTGAGCTTGAACTCCGCACGCACTGGGAGAGGTTGCTGGACGTCCCTGCCAGGCCCCGGCCGCTCAGCCCCGAGGCCCGCGTGCTGTGCTGGGCCCCGTGCTCGTAGCTCGGACTCACAAACTCACTCCCGAGCAGAGAGGCGTCGCTGGGCGGGCTGGGGTCCTGCGGGCCGGCCCCCGCCGTTGGGCCCGGGGACGCCTCCGAGGGGAGGAGCGGGCGCCCCTGGGCAGAGCCGCCCGCGGACTCCGGCGACGCCTCCACGGCCGGCACGTGCCCGGCCCCTCGCTTGCTCCTCCAGTTGGGGTCGTAGCGGAGGTCCGAGTACTTGTCTTCTTTGGACGGTGGGCTGCCCGGGGCAGAAAGAAGTGTCAATACTGGATCAAGATAAATGTGCTCACTATGCATTATGTTCAGTTGATCATTTAATGTGAAATCAATCTCAGCCTTCCTCCTATAACTTTCCTCTTTTTTTTTTAATATATATTTTATTGGTTTTTTACAGAGAGGAAGAGAGAGGGATAGAGAGTTAGAAACATCGATGAGAGAGAATCATCGATCAGCTGCCTTCTGCACACCCCCTACTGGGGATGTGCCCACAACCAAGGTACATGCCCTTGACCAGAATCGAACCTGGGACCTTTCAGTCTGCAGACTGACGCTCTACCACTGAGCCACACCGGCTTCGGCTATAACTTTCCTCTTACTGTCGGCACGGTGAAGACCTCGCCCAGGCTCACACGAGGCCTCACGCTGCACAGGAGGGTGGAAAGGTCCTCACTATCGCAGTTTATTAAAACAGGGGGTGAGCCAGAACCGGTGTGGCTCAGTGGATAGAGCGTCGGCCTGTAGACTGAAGGGTCCCGGGTTCGATTCCGGTCAAAGGCATGTACCTTGGTTGCGGGCACATCCCCAGTGAGGGGTGTGCAGGAGGCAGCTGATCAATGTTTCTCTCTCATCCATGTTTCTAACTCTCTATTCCTCTCCCTTCCTCTCTGAAAAAAAATCAATAAAACATTTTTTAAAAACACGGGGGATGAAGCCAGGCCAGTCAGTCTCTAACGGAACAAGCGTCCCTAACACTAAACCAGCAGCGCCTGAGGCTCAGGACCCTCTCGCTGTGCCCGCCGAGGACTTCCTGCAGATACACTGACTTCTCGCTCCCGTGGGTCAGACACACATTTATTTGGCTGCTTATCCAGGGTGGTGGTCCCCTGGGCACCCGTCTCCGTCTGCTCCCTTTCAGGGCAAAGCCAGATGTACCCCCACTGAGCTCCTACTCAGATCCAGCCCCTGTTCAGTGACTGCTTTAAAAAATGATTTCAGAGCGGAAGGAAGAGGGGGAGAGAGATAGAAACATCATGATGAGAAATAATCGCTGATAGGCTGCCTCCTGCGCACCGCTTCCGGGGATCCAGCCTGCACCTCGGGCAGGTGCCTGGCCAGGAATCGAACCGTGACCTCCTGGTGCATAGCTCGATGCTCAGCCCCTGAGCCACCCTGGCCAGGCCGAGGATTTTACCTCCCAGTGCACCTTGTGTTGGTAGAATGTACCACGTACAGAGAGCCCCAGCCCTGGAGCCAGAAGGCGACTCACTGCAAAGCGCTGGGGCCACACTCAGGCCGTCAGGTCTGAGCACGGAGCCCTGGGCGACGGGGTGGCTGAGCCGGACGCTGCAGGCAGCGCTGTTCCAGCAGAAGGGCCAGCAGACGGCCCAGCCGAGGGAAGTGACCTGGAGGGGAGGCCACCCAGCCCACACGACCCCACGGCCTCCCCTGCCCCCAGGGCCATCTCAGTGCGGAAAGCACCTCCGTCTCACCCAGAGGGAGAGGGACCTGGGGACAGGGCATGTGTAATGGGCCCTTTGATCTTCAAAAGCTAACGGAGAGATTTTCCTCCCGCGAGCTCAGTGCCTGCGATTCTCTAATCCAGAAGGAAATGTAAATCAGCCAGCTTTTATGCCATTCGGTGCTCCCGTCACAGAGGACGTAATGTACGCTGGGTAAACAAACGGATGGAGCCCTGGATGCTAATTGCCTCTCCTTCATGTGCACCCAGACTTCTTTGATTTGATGGAAAGCAGACAGGGAGGCGGCCAAAGCCCGGGCCTGCTGCTTGCCCTTTCTTGGCTCTCACATTGAGGTGGAGGACGGCTGGGCATGCTGCTCTCCTCTGCCACCGGGGGTGGGGAGAGGGCACTCTCCTCAGCCACACGCCTGGACGACACGGCTCTCCCCTCTCAGGGCGCTGCTATCCAGGTGTGTGACTCCCCTCGCTGGGCACCTCGACGTCCACGTCTCTGGGGCGCCCGGGAGGGTCCCCTGTGGCTTCCCAGGACCCGAGCTCACAGTAGTTTGGGGCACTGCCACTTGCCTGTCCTAAGGGCCCCTGGGCATGTGCTAGGGGTGGAGCGGCCCAGCAGGGCACAGCGGACAGACAGGGGTTGAGTTCTGGTCTGTCCCTCTGGCAGAGCATGCCACCTCCGAGCCAGCTTCCCTCAGGGTGTGTCACATGTGTTCTGTGGATGGCTCAGACTGCATCCGGGGCTCAGTGTCCATGTCACTCCTCTGTGCTCCCCTCCTTTCCCATCGCCCTGTGGGGACCGGTCTCCTCCCCCAGGCGGGCTGGGCACCAGGACTGGCGTTACTCTCCCTGGCCTGCCTGGCACTCGCCAGGGCTGTAGACGAAGCGTACGTGTTTCTCAAATGATCGAGCCTCTCCCTGTGGCATTAGGCATTCTTTCTTTAAAAGCCGGTGGTAGTGACCGAGAACCTAAATGCGCAGGAAAGTGTCAGGCATTAGTGACTGGCTGAGGGCTCCTCTGGCGCTCAGTGACAGGGTGTGTGTGTGATGTTGTGTGTGTGTGTACGCATGTGACGGTGTGTGTGTGTGTGAGACGGTGTGTGTGTGTGTGAGACGGTGTGTGTGTGTGTGTGTGTGTGTGTGTACAGGGTGGTTCAGGTGGAAAGGCAAGGAGTGCCTGGGAAGTGAGGGCCCCTCTGGCACTCAGTGACGGTGTGTGCGTGTGTGCATGTGTGTGTGATGGTGTGTGTGTGTGTGTGTGTGTGTGAGAGACAGTGTGCGTGTGTGTGCGTGCACGTGTGTGCGTGCGTGTGTGTGTGATGGTGTGATGGTGTGTGTGAGAGAGAGACGGTGTGCGTGTGCATGTGTGTGCGTGTGTATGTGTGATGGTGTGTGCGTGTGTGTGTGTGAGAGAGACAGTGTGCGTGTGTGTGCGTGTGTGAGCGAGCATGTGTGTGCGTGCGTGTGTGTGTGTGATGTTGTGTGTGAGAGAGACGGTGTGCGTGTGCGTGTGTGATGGTGTGTGTGTGTGTGAGAGAGAGATGGTGTGTGTGTGTGTGTGTATGTGTGAGAGAGACAGTGTGCGTGTGTGTGTGTGTGAGAGAGAGACGGTGTGCATGTGTGTGCGTGTGTGATGGTGTGTGATGGTGTGTGATGTGTGTGTGTGTGTGTGTGTGTGTGTGTGCGCGCGTGCGCGCACGGGGAAAGGCAAGGAGCGCCTGGGAGGCCTTCAGGTGAACGCTGCTGCCAGAGACCATTCCTGGGGAGAAGGCGCTGTCCCTGCAGACCCGGTGCTGAAAGGAAGGCAGGAGTGGACTTCACCCTCCTCCACGATTTGCTGGACGCGGCAGAAGGTGCCTCATCCATTTGCTGACTCAGCGGTTCCACAGCTGTTTCCGGGGTGCACACCAGGCTAGGGGGGTGCAGTGGTGGGCTCATAGCTACAGAGGGTGCAACAGAGAGCGAGGGAGCCCTGATGAGGGCCTGGGGCCTCGGGCGCGGCACCCAACCCCCTGGAAGGCCGGGCCTCAGCGGAGGCAGCGGAGGCCTAAGGCTCGGGGGCCAGCCTGAGCGAACAGCGTGTGAAAGGCACGGGGAGGAGGCCAGGGCACTCCCCAGGGACAAGGCCGGCCCGGGGATGGCGGCGGAGGGGGAGGCAAGGAGCAGACTCGGAATGGAGGAGAGGTGAGAGCTCGAAGGGGCTGTAAACTCTGTGAGGGGTTTGGCTTGGCCAAGCTCCTATGAGAATTTGATCAACAAAAATAATTCACGGAGAGCAAAGTGCTAGTAACGCAAATGCTCCTGGGTGCTGGGAAGGCAGTATCTACAGAGCCGGGAGGGTTGGGGAGCAGGCAGTGCTCGCGCTGTTTGAAGCAGGCGCTGGCAGCCTTCCAAAGTGGTGGGTCGTTGGGGATCCCTGCCTGCTCCGTAGGCTCGGGCAGGACGCGGTGCTGGCTGGACCGGGGAGACGGTGTATTCCATGGCATGCCGACCGAGGGAATGCTTCCAGCCAATCGCTGGTTTTTCCTTAGAACAACCCTATGAGGGAGGTGCTATTTTATCCCCATTTAATAGATCAATCAACGGGGGCTGACAGAGCGCGTGTAGCTTTGACAAGGTCGCAGAGCTAACGAGCGGAGGGGCTGGGACACAGGCCTGGCCGTCTGTCCCGGCACCGGGCTCCGCATCCATCCGGTTGCCCTTTATCAGGCGGCTGTTCCCACAGGCGGTGAAGCGCACGCTGTCCACGGGCCTGCCTCATGGGAGCTAGTGAGCTGCCCGCTCAGTCACGTGGCCAGGAAACAAACAATACTGAGCAGCTCCCCAGCGCTGGCACTGCAGACTGAGGTGCGAGCAAAACAGACGCAGGCCGATGGACCTTCCCTGCCAGTGGGGAAGATAGGCCTGTTCTACCAATGGTGATAACTAGCTGACAAGTGAGAAACGTGAGGAGATACAGGGCATTATGGGTATTTAAAACAGGAGGATGTGTCACTGGAAATGTGTTAGCTTCTGATCCCCAGATTCACTTGCTAAAAGATATCACGAAGTCCATTCCAACGCTCTAGCTCTAGAATCCTATTATAAACTCACAAGAGACTCCATACCTGAGGAGTGTCTACATTACAAAAACTGGCCCTGGTTGGTTTGGCTCAGTGGATAGAGTGTTGGCCTGGGGACCAAAGAGTCCCAGGTCCCATTCTGGTAACGGTACATACCTGGGTTGCAGGCTGATCCCCAGTGGGGGGCATGCAGGAAGCAGCCAATCAATGATTCTCTTTCATCACTGCTGTTTCTCTCTCTCTCTCTCTCTCTCTCTCTCTCTCTCTCTCTCTCTCTCTCCCTTTCTCTCTGAAATCAGTAAAAATATATTTTTTAAAAATTAGGTAGTCTTCAGTGACTGACAGAAATGGCTGCCTGACTCCCATCGCTGCAGGAATACTAAAAAACTGGCCCTCGGATTGGTCGTCACATTTAACCAGCACTAACGAGGAGTGGAGCAATGTCTGCAGCCACAGGGAAGCCCATGGTGCTTTGCTTCTGAG